TCGCAAGATGGGCTGAACCCGGTGCCTTAGAAGATGCTCACGTTTTGAAGAAAAAAGATGCAAAACATACGCGGATCAACGTGAAACACAGAGTAGGTGCGGCGACGTTACTAAGAGTAAGAAACATTAATAAGGACAGTTGAGAGAACAAGCTGAGGATAAAAGGTATTTCACCTTATCCACATGCTCGCAAAGCATGAGACTCCCATGAACGCAAGGAGGACCGTGCTGGGCTTTGTTCCTGCAAGGCTCAAGACCTTCGTGATGATGACACGATCGATGTTCATCTTGCTCAAAGCAGAAGAGATAGTAAAGCCACCGATGAGCAGCATGATTGTCGGAGAAAACATGACCGAGAAAACCCACCTAGAGCGAGGTAAGCATCTTTACCACTTGTGGGGAAACTGACTCACTGTGTCGCCGCCTTCCGAGAAACAACTTCCCCAGCGTCATTCCGTATGACCTGCAAGACGACAAGGAGAAACGGCACCATCATGGACGTAACAAACAACGCAACAGCCTGTCATCCACTCAGTTCATGTAGCCTTTTGATATAAATGCACTCCACTTACCTCAGTAGCCCAAAGGAAAGTACAGAATATAAGGATAGCGAAACACCGATTAGCCTCCTTCCCATCCACAACTTGCAGGTTCAGCAGCGTCACGAAGATGATACCCGCGATGATTTTGTAAATCATCTTCTTGGTAACTCGGATGGTTCCCAGTGGAGTTGGGATGTAAAAAAGCCCAGGACCTGGCGGTTTCATCAGAGACCCCATGGCCACCGGCTCCCCATCCTCTTCGCCTCGTCGCTGCTGGGCAATCATCTGGCGCCAGACGGTGTCGCGCTCCCATGCAATGTTCTCTCGTTGATGTAGCTTCAACTGTTCTCTAGCGAGAGGCCGGTCGCCTTGCGTGACGCACTTGGCGTATAGCTCGACGAGTCGTCTGAGTGTGTCGTTAAGTCTATCCTTCGTGTTATGCGTAAAGGGGTATGCTGGATCAACGGCTTGGTGCATGTAACGGTCTTTGAGCTATACGAAGATGAAATTTAGCGTGTGGCCAAATCAAGCAGAAGCGAAACAAACCTCGGAGTAGGTAACTTTGTCGTACTTCTTGAGAATTTTGCGGAAGCCGGAGTAGTTGACCTCCACGTAGGACTTGAGATTGGAGACGGAGACATAGACAGTGGTGATTTTGCGTTTGAACAATAAACGGGTGTCGTATGCGTAATCCGACCTCGAGGTCCAGATGTTATCACTGGCAGTCGATACAAAGCTATCTCGAATGGTGTCGCCAATCTTGGCAAATGTAGACCTCTGTGTGGGTTCGTGGTCGGTTTCCGTAGATGAAATGCTTAAACGATGCGGCCGAGTAGAGGTGCTCGCCTCGCGTGCTTGAAAACAAACTAAGATTCTCAACAGTGGTATATTACAATGGCACAACTCACAAAGACGCCTACGACTCGTAGAAATCCGTCTTCGACGTTCTGGGCTTCGCGACAAACTTTCGTCGTCGTCTTCATCCTCATCTCCGTCTGAGTCGTCGCGGTAACGCTCGGCACCATCAAATCCATCCTGTTCCTGCCTCTCAACGAGTGCCTCAAGGTTTGTAACCTCCTCCAGAATCTCCTTCTCTCGGGTCTCATAAAATTCGACGATCTTCGCCAATTCTTTCTTCAGCAGGGGTTCAAATACGAAGTCGGTACTAGACTGGCTCAGAAGATTTTCATGTTCTCCAGCCTCTAAGTCTCGGTATGGTTGTCCTTCTCCATGTTGTTCTTTCTCAAGCTGATATATCTGCCTTTTTAAGGCATCATACCTGGCCTCAAATGGATCAGAAATTCAAACATATATATTCTGCAAAGCAACTCACGAAATATATGCATCCCACCAGTCGGCGACTGCATTGAATTTCAAGGAGGAACTAAACGGAAGTAAGACTTTGAACCCTTGACTGTCATCTGACCCAAACACACCTAAATTTCATCTTCGGAGTAGTTACACGCCCTTGTTTAGTCTGTTGCTGTCGCCGCAACGGTCTAAGGGCGATGCTCTCCGACGCAGATGGTGGAGAGATGGTGGTGAAAGGAAAAGAGCGTGCTGGGAAAACGTTGCAGCGACAGTAGAAGGCAGAACTTTTTCGGCGACAAGGCGTTACGGGCGGCACAGCCACGTGTTGCTTCCGAATTCATTTGCCAAGCTAGATCTCCGGGAGGAGCTTTTACTCTGGTTCGCCTAAAGCGCATGGCGCTTGCCAGTCAAAGAGTGTATCTCCGAGACTCCTGACCATGCATGCATAATAAATGTATTTCACAATTTTCAAAATGGTCGTTCATCTTAGTGCATAGGCATCAACATTTAACTTCGTGAATGACAGAAGTTTTTAATACTAATGCCTCCTACCGGTTTGTCGAGGTGGAATTGGTGAGAGGATGCGAATGCGATCTGGAGGTTGGCCAGCGTGCAAGGCTCACTGACAGATATTTGGACGAAAGCAAGAAGCGAGAGCGCACGCTTCGTTGAACCTAGAGTGAGTTTTTTGAGTGACGTTATGTTGCTGAAGTCAAGATGACTTAGAACGGCATCAGGGTATGTGTCTAGGAATTGCCAGGTGAGGTTGAAATCAACGTCAGAAAAAAGCTCTCCACCAATCGTTTGTGTAGCTAGTTGAAGGCAGTGAAGAACTTTCCCAAATGCTGGCAGAAGAGACCGAATTTCATGGCGTTTGAGTCCAAAAAGAAATATCACCAGATCCCAAGCTCTGGCTCGGAACCTACTAGACCTTCTAGTGCGTATTTCCAGCGCAATCGCTTTTTCAGCGAATAATCAAAAGGACAATGGAGCGCTAGTCCGTATGATCCTGGTATGAATCATTGGAGCGTGGTTTGCGCACTCGACGTCTTCTACCACCAATCGACGGTGTTTAAACTCCCAAAAAAAATGCCACTAATTCGTCCCGGGCGGAGAAATTCGACTGGAGAAGCTCCAAAATGGAAACACCGGCTAGACCAGGAAAGCAACCCTGCGCAGTGATGTCACTGCCGTCGCCAAAGCCAAATTCTGCAACGAAAATTGGTGACGTTGCCCATGGCCGTCAAAGCCATAAGAACTTGCGAAAAAGCTTCCGTATATTGTAAATCACATGCTGCTCGGAGGACTTTCGGTGGCCCACGTATTTGAATTGCTCTGGCGGATGAGATGTTCTGAATAATGGTGTAAATAGATGGAATAGCCGTCCACGCAAGCTCACTTTGACAAATCTATATCTGTACTAGCTCCTCCTCGCCAGCGAGCGCAAAATATGCTACATTGAGCGAGGGAGTGTTCATCGAATAAAAGTCATGACAAGTTGGTCGGGTTGTGATCTGGCAGCTGGAACTGTACTTATTGTGGTAGATGAGCACTCGCTGTCTCCTACGAAGTCGGCTTGTTAGAATTTTAGAAATCACCAACGCCCCCTGATAGTTAGGAGAGCGCAGATTTATATTTGGTAAAACGAAAAGATGAAACCATAAGCCCAGACGGACTGACTGTCAACGCATTTAGATGATTAGAAGTACACGGCTATAGCTTTCAACAGGTTGAGCGCACCTACTTGAAGAAGAGAGAGGGCAGAATGGTTCGGGTAGATCCGAATTACGCCATCGCATCTTATCCGATATGTTTATTTTAATTCATAAATTTCTTACTCATCTTCTGCCATCATGTCCTCCTCTAATCTTTACCAAGTCGAATCTACACCTCATTTCCAGGAACTCTTATCACAAGACCTCAATCGAGTGTCGTTGCTCAACTTCTGGGCGCCATGGGCTGCACCGTGTGCACAGATGAACGAGGTGGTGGCTGAACTTGCAAAGAAGTACCCGAATCTGCTATTCCTTAACGTGCGTCAGAATTGCGACGAATAATGCAAACAGTTTCTTTATTTACATCACCTTTATCAGATTGAGGCCGAATCACAATCTGAGATCGCAGAGTCATTCGACGTAGAAGCTGTGCCATTCTTCGTAGTTTTGCGAGTATGTCTTTTCCTCATCAAATTTCATTCAGCCATTAATAAACGTCTGCAGGGCCATACCCTCCTTGACCGCATTTCAGGAGCCGATGCAAAATCCCTGACTGAGGCTATTGCCAAGCACAATGCTGGTCCCACAGTCCCTAAGCCGCAATCCGAGACGAACCAAGAACCCTCACGGCCGTCGAGCACTATACCCGGAACGAACGAAACATATGAAACTGAAGAAGAACTCGAAAAGCGAATGCATGGTCTAATGAACCAGAGCAAGGTGGTCCTGTTTATGAAAGGTAGCCCCGACGCACCGCGATGCGGATTTTCGCGCAAGATTTCGGCGCTACTCAAGGATCATAATGTTGAGTTCACGAGCTTCGACATATTGACAGATGAGGCTGTGCGCCAAGGTATGTGATTACACACTTTTATGGGGGAATTCGACTGAAAGTCCTGCGTTAATATAGGGCTTAAGAAATTAAACGACTGGCCAACTTTCCCACAACTCATCGTCAAAGGTGAATTAGTTGGCGGTTTAGACATTGTTCAAGAGATGGCAGAGTCCGGAGAGTTGAAGGAAGCTATCGCATAGCCTTATTTCTTTGCTGCATTATTCATAGAATTTATCCAATTATTCAGCTGCATATGCTCAAATCCTCCAGTTACAAGTGTAAAATATACCTTATTTCACCTCGATTATATTGTTTCACCCCTTATTGTCTCCAACATGCATTTACAGCATGCGCTAAGATCCTGCCTAAGTGTAGTAATCGACGCTTGCTCATTACTCCGGCTGGTTACGAGTCTAGGTGGCAAGAGCTGCAGCCTTCAAAGCTTTCACGGCAGGCAAATTAGATGATTGGACCGACCTCGACCATTGGCATCTGATCACTGGGAGGACTTGCAACTTGGGTATTCTGCGAACCTGCATTGAATGTCGAATCGGGTTTGGTAGAGTAATCCAAGAAAGAAAAAGGCCGCCGAAGTCATGTCCGTAGCAGGATTCGAGCCTGCGGCTTCTCGGAGCTTGCACAAGGCATGTACCACAACGAGATGATTTGACCACTAATCGATACGGACGTTATGGTGGCTGGTTGAAATTCGGTGGTCAGCTGGTAGTAAGTACCATCACGGTTGCTGAAGATTTTTGGAGAATTTGATTCTGACGTACTCCAGTTGTGCTTCGACTTCGCATCAACGTCAACGTCGTTCTCGCAGAGGTGGTGTCTTTATCGATTGCATGGATGTACACATGCACAGACAACGAAGAGCGAAGGTCGGCCTGCATCCGTAGTCTCCCAAAATTCAACAGACTTTATAATGAGATGATAATCAATCTCCCAATGCATCCGACCAAGTCTTGTAACTTGGGCTTTCGGCGAAAATACACTGAATCTTAAATCAGTTTCCTAGAGCCACGATAACGAATAAAAATTCGTTCAAGCAGCGTTTGCCAATATATGTTGCCTGTTCAATTGACAAGGATTGCGAGTCCACTCTACGTCAATTTATGGCCACGACGTGACTCGGTGTAGCGACTACGTGTCACACAATCTTTATCTCATCTTATCACACTCCTTATCATTTCCTTCCCATCATTCCTGCGCCACAACTCCCAGGGTATTCAGTATATAAAGCTAGCTATCATGTTCTAGGTAGCCGGTTTTGCAACAAGAGTACTTA